CATACAATGAACATACATATGAGAAACAGTTATGAGCATACATATTTACAGACCCGGCCCCATGATTGGGCGTGTAGTAAAAGCATTGGTAAAAGAGGGTTATACACATTTCATAGCATTAGACAGAAAACTTAGAACACAAAGCTAAAAGCTTAGCAAGAACTCCACAAAAATAAATGAGCTTCATCTAAGTGCTTGGACGCATTGAAGTTGACAAAAGAGGAACGGGCACGATGGGTTAAGACTGACCTCCAGGTTGATTACCTACAGAGACAGACATAACACGAAGTGAGCAAAGCTCAGTGAATAATAGTACATAAACAATTCACTGAATAAACTTGAATTATAATGTATATAGGTGCAGAGGGCATATGATTAATCTTATTTCGTAATTATTTTCAGAACGGCCTTAGGCCCAATCTTTATACAGAGTGGCTTCAAGCCTAGTAACATATAGAATGGCCTCAAGCCCAACAGATTTTACAGATCGGCCTTAGGCCCAACAAATTTTATAGATTGGCCTTAGGCCCAACAGACTTTACAGATCGGCCTTAGGCCAGGTATCAACAGAGCAGACTAGTCTTAAAGTCATACAGACGTACACAGATTCTTTCAATTGTTCACGTAAGTTAACACAGTTGACTTGCGGTTAACAGAGTGCTAATAATAATTATTAGTGATAAGTAAAGCGTACTACTACAGTACTATTACTCGCAGTGCTATGGTGGAGCGGCAATTCCTTCCGATATGTGCCCTACATACACACGCAGTTCAGAAATTAGTTCATTTTCCATTTTAAACAATATCTGATTCGTTTCGCTTCGAATGAATTTACAAACATTTTAAAGGCATCAAATACAGATTTTAATAATACTAGAGGGTCAAACAAGTAAAACGGAGCAGACAGGATTTTTCGGCATGGGCCGCACATGCGGTTATGAGCCCCGCACGTGCTTTTATTTCAGTAGCTTCAGTCCCAAAATCCCTTGTTTTCCGCACGTGCAGCAGTGCTTCCCGCATGTGTGGCCATGACCCCCGCACGTGCGGTTGTTGTTCCAGTTTTGCATACTTCGAATCAAGGCTAATTTTCAACTTGGTAAATATATTACAAGGCACAAAATAGGGAAGTTTATGTAATATAACAGCTCAATGTCACCATAAACATAATCACAAGTTCAATTTGGGTCATCATCTTCAATTCCACATGCATAACCCAATTTCTTCAAAGTTTGAGTTATCTTTTGGTTCCAATCACATATACATATATATATAGCCATCTGAACATATAGATGAGTTTCAACATGAAATAACAAGTAAGATGCAATTTCTTCATATAACTCAAATGAGTTCCTAACACAACCAAATGGTAAGAATAACCTTCCTATTAAGCACTTATCAAACACATGACCTCAATTGCAAACCTTAGGTTACATAAATGTGAACAAATCTCACTCAAATTCAAGAGAAGAGTTGTAGAAGATGAATAAACTTACCTTGAGCTTAAATCTCTCAGATTCCTTTCAAGTTTTCCAATCTTCTTCCTTGCTGAACTTCTCTTCATCCTCTCTAACTCTCTTCTCCTCTAACCCTCTCTCAGGAGATATTTTATGCCTTAGCATTTTCTAAATCAAGGGTTAAAAGGATAGATATATATAAATGGTGAATAAGACAAAATTTAATCAGTTTAATCATTCCGAATCAAATTTTTACAGAAAATCATATTATGATCTAAAAATTATGCTGAACTCAAATATATAATCAATTTCAGATTATCAAGCTTCTAAGGCTTCTAATTTTTTATCTGAACATCATAATTGTAACAGATATTTCTCTTATTAAACAGATATGAATCTCTAATCATAAGATTCACTCACTTAAACTTAATTTCACACGAAATGTCACAGTAAGCATATAAATGCATAGAATAAGGGACTGAAAGCATACCAGAAAATATCTATGAGGGTTGGGTTATTACACTCTCCCCCCCTTAAATAAGTTTGCTCCCTCAAACTTGTTTTACCCTATGACAGGAATAATTCCGGATATTGGTGTTGCATGTCCTTTTCTTTTTCCCAAGTAGCTTCGGTTCCGTAGTGTTCTTGCCATTCGATTTTCACCATCAGAATCTCTCGGTTCCGTAGTTGTCTCACTTGCCGATTCGGAATTCGAAATGGCTTTTCTTCATAAGTTAACTTATCGTCCAGAACGATTTGGTGGTAATCAATGACATGAGACGGATCCGGAAGATACCCTCAAAGCATAGATACATGGAATACATTATGTACTTGACTTATACTAGGTGGAAGGGCAACTCGGTAAGCCACCGAACCCTCTTTCTCTAGAACTTGGAACAGACCGACATATCAAGGTGTTAACTTGCCCCTTTTTTCCGAATCTAGGATGCCCCTTAATCGAAGTAACCTTTACAAAAACATGTTTACCTACTTCAAATTCCAAATCTCTTTGTTGGTTGTCCGCATAACTCTTTTGCCTACTTTGGGCGATTTTCAGTCTTTCTCGAATAGTCTTAATCTTTTCAGTTGTCAGTTGGAAAATTTTAGGCAGTAACAACGCCCTATCTCCAACTTCAGCCCAACACACGGGGGAACGACATGGCCTTCCATACAGAGCCTCATAGGGTGCCATCCCAACACTCAAATGGTAACTATTATTATATACGAACTCTACCAACGGTAGATGAGTTTCCCAACTTTCCTGAAAATCCAAAACACACATTCGAAGCATATCCTCTAATGTATGTATCGTTCTCTCGGATTGTCCATCTGTCTGAGGGTGGAAAGCTGTTCTAAATTTTAATTCTATACCCATTGCTCCCTGCAGACTCTGCCAGAATCTAGATACAAACTTCGGATCTCTATCTGTTACTATTGAAATTGGAACACCATGGAGTCTCATAACTTCATTCACATAGATTACAGCAAGTTTAACAATTTTAATTCTATACTATTGTACTGAGTTGTCACAGGTAGGAAATAGGCAGACTTAGTTAACCGGTCTACAATGACCCATATAGAATTCATACCTCGAGGAGTCCATGGTAACCCTACAACAAAATCCATGGTCAGATGTTCCCATTTCCACTCCGGGATTGGAAGGGGTTGCAATAACCCTGCCGGTCTCTGATGCTCTGCCTTTACTTGCTGACATTGCAAACATTTAGAGATGAAGTCCGCGATCTCCTTCTTCATACTTGGCCACCAAAAATTTTGTTTCAAATCCCGATACATTTTAGTACTTCCCAGATGCATTGAAAATCTCGAGACATGTGCTTCTTCCATCAATTTCCATTTAAGTTCTGACACATTGGGAACACGTATTCGGTTTTGAAATTTGAGCGCTGAGTTTGCCAAAGCGAACCTGGGTTTTGGTTTTGTTTCCAATTCATCACAGATCTTCTTTAAAGATTCGTCTTCCATCTGACACAGTTTGATTTCTTCAATTAATGTCGGTTGGGCCACCACTACTGCTACGATGGCCTCCCATCCATGCATCACAAGGTCTATATTCATTTTATCCAATTCAACCACTAACTCTTTTTGTTCTGTAAGCAAATTTGCCAATTTTCCCATACTTTTCCGACTAAGTGCATCTGCAACCGTATTGGCTTTACCAGGATGGTAATGGATCTGCAAATCGTAGTCTTTAATAAGCTCTAACCACCGCCTCTGTCGCATATTCAATTCTTTCTGGGTAAAAAGGTACTTGAGGCTCTTATGATCGGTGTAGACTTCACAAGTAGTGCCATACAAATAATGCCGCCATATCTTCAAAGCAAAAACTACTGCGGCTAGCTCAAGGTCATGTGTGGGATAATTCTTTTCATGGGGTTTGAGTTGTCGTGAAGCATAAGCGATAACCCTTCCATTTTGCATAAGTACACAATCTAATCCCTTATGGGAAGCATCATTGTAGATCACAAATCTTTCGGTACCAGATGGTAAGGCAAGAACCGGAGCTGTAGTTAACTTCATTTTTAATTCCCGGAAGGCAGATTCCCATTGTTCTGACCATTCAAATGCAACTCCCTTTTGAGTCAGTTGAGTAAGCGGTATAACAATTTTGGAGAGATCTTGAACAAACCTCCTGTAGTACCCGGCTAATCCCAGGAAGCTACGCATCTCAGTCACATTCGTAGGGGTTCGCCAATTCACGATTGCCTCAATTTTGTGTGGATCAACAGAAACTCCTTCCTTCGTTATCACATGCCCTAAGAATGCTACCTCATGTAGCCAGAATTCACATTTCTTTAGCTTTGCATACAATTTCCTTTCTCAATGTGCTTAAAGAATTAAACGAAGATGATTCTCATGAGCTTCCGCATTCTTCGAGTAAATGACGATGTCATCGATAAATACCACTACAAACTCATCCAGATAGGGCTTGAAGACATGATTCATCAAATCCATAAATGCTGCTGGTGCGTTAGTAACTCCAAAGGGCATAACCAGAAATTCATAATGACTGTATCGAGTTTGAAAAGTTGTCTTCTCAACATCATCAGCTTTGACCTTTAGTTGGTGGTATCCGAACCGTAAATCAATTTTCAAAAAGACTTGTGCCCCTTGTAGCTGGTCAAACAAATCATCGATCCGAGGCAAAGGGTACTTATTCTTGATCATTACCTTATTAAGTTCCCTGTAATCTATACATAATCGGAGTGTTCTATCTTTCTTTTTCACAAACAGAACTGGTGCACCCCATGGAGAGACACTCGGGTGAATGAACCCCTTATCAAGTAAATCTTGCAACTGAATCTTCAATTCCTTCATTTCAACTGGTGACATCCTATACGGAGTTTTAGAAATGGGTTGAGTTCCCGGTATCACTTCAATTGTAAACTAGATTTCACGGTCTACTAACTCCCCCGGTAATTCCTCTGGAAAAACATCCGGAAATTCACAGACGATCGAAATCATACTAGTACTCCCATTCATTGGTGGCTCCTCTAAGACACTGCACAAGTACCCCTGACACCCTTTCTAAATTAATTTACGGGCCTTCATTGCAGAAATCAAATAAGGTGGAGAAGTCACTCCATGTCCCTGAAAGGTAAATTCTGAATATCCTGGAGGGTGGAAACTGAGTTGCTTAGTCAAACAGTCAATAGTCGCACAATATTCGCTCAACCAGTCCATGCCCAGAATAATATCAAAATAAGTCATATTAAGGGGTAACAGATTGGCATATGCCCGGATATCCCCAAATTGGAGTTCATAAGCAAAATAAACAGAAGTGCAAACCATAGTGTCTCCCAAAGGTGAAGACACACATAAAATATAAGATAACTCAGATCTATCTAAATTTTGAGCAAATTGTTTTAACACAAAGGAATGGGTGGAGCCAGAATCAAACAATACATGGGCAAAATGACCGTGAACAATAAATGTACCTAACACCACTGTTGCAGCATTTTGCACATCTCCCGGAACCAATGCAAACACCCTCCCCTGTCTCGCGGTGTCTTTATTGTTAACAGGCTTGACAGCTGACTTGGTGCTGGGAGCTGGTGTAGACCATGTTGAACTTGCAGTAGCCCTATTTCCATTTTGTTGATTTCTCTGAGGACAGTCCTTTACCAAATGGCCCATTTTGCCACACCTAAAACATGATCCAGTCAACCGATAACAAGTCCCACGGCTGTGAGCCCCGCACGTGCTTTTATTTCAGTAGCTTCAGTCCCAAAATCCCCTATTTTTCGCTCGTGCGGCTGTGAGCCCCGCACTTGTGGCCTGGACCCTTGTACGTGCGGTTGCTGTTCCAGTTTTGCATACTTCAAATCAAGGCTAATTTTCAACTTGGTAAATATATTACAAGGCACAAAATAGGGAAGTTTATGTAATATAACAGCTCAATGTCACCATAAACATAATCACAAGTTCAATTAGGGTCATCATCTTCAATTCCACATGCATAACCCAATTTCTTCAAAGTTTGAGTTATCTTTTGGTTCCAATCACATATACATATATATATAGCCATCTGAACATATAGATGAGTTTCAACATGAAATAACAAGTAAGATGCAATTTCTTCATATAACTCAAATGAGTTCCTAACACAACCAAATGGTAAGAATAACCTTCCTATTAAGCACTTATCAAACACATGACCTCAATTGCAAACCCTAGGTTACATAAATGTGAACAAATCTCACTCAAATTCAAGAGAAGAGTTGTAGAAGATGAATAAACTTACCTTGAGCTTAAATCTCTCAGATTCCTTTCAAGTTTTCCAATCTTCTTCCTTGCTGAACTTCTCCTCCTCCTCTCTAACTCTCTTCTCCTCTAACCCTCTCTCAGGAGATATTTTATGCCTTAGCATTTTCTAAATCAAGGGTTAAAATGATAGATATATCTAAATGGTGAATAAGACAAAATTTAATCAGTTTAATCATTCCGAATCAGATTTTTACAAAAAATCATATTATGATATAAAAATTATGCTGAACTCAAAGATATAATCAATTTCAGATTATCAAGCTTCTAAGGCTTCTAATTTCTAATCTGAACATCATAATTGTAACAGATATTTCTCTTATTAAACAGATATGAATCTCTAATCATAAGATTCACTCACTTAAACTTAATTTCACACGAAATGTCACAGTAAGCATATAAATGCACAGAATAAGGGACTGAAAGCATACCAGAAAACATATACGAGGATCGGGTTATTACAATAATACCCTCCCAGGGTCGCGCTTCACACGTCCTGAGATAAAACCAAAACCGCTTGGGGTCGCACTTCACATGTCCCAAGATAAAACCCGCCCAGGGTCGCGCTTCACGCATCCTGAGATAAAACCAAAACTGCTCGGGGGCACGCTTCATACGTCCCGAGATAAAACCTGCCCAGGGTCGCGCTTCACGCGTCCTAAGATAAATGCAAAAGGTGTGAGATTGTACCACAAATACATATTGAAATAAAAGTGTGCAATAGATGCACGACATGAACAGGTGCGATAGATGCACAAAGTGAACAAGTGCGATAGATGCACAAAGCGAACAAGTGCAATGGATGGACAAAGTGAATAAGTGCGATGGATACACGAAGTGAACAAGTGTAATAGATGCACAAAGTGAACAAGTGCTATAGATGCACAAAGTGAATAAGTGCGATAGATGTACAAAGTGAACAAGTGTGATAGATGCACAAAGTAAACAAGTGCTATAGATGCACAAAGTGAATAAGTGCGATAGATGCATAAAGTGGATAAGTGCGATAGATGCACAAAGTGAACAAGTGCGATAGATGCACAAAATTACAAATCAATATAGTGACAACGCATATTCCATGGAAGATAGACAACCGATGCCTAATGTTAATTAAAAGCATGTTCTATGCAAGAAAGAAGATGCACGTTCTATGCAAAACTTAAACATATTGCATGCATGAGTCATGAATGATACAGGACATGCGTGCAACACAAGTCTATATGAAAATGCATATCCAGTGACAACCTACAATTTACCTCTCAGAGACTTTGCAACATGTTCAAAAAGGATATACCTCGTTCATATTGGCAAGTAGGGCATATTCATGCACCGAAACGCAGTTTCAAGCTCCCTAAGAATCAATCTAAATCTAAAAGAGAACCTCACATACACTACTCGTGGAACATAAGCACAGAACAGCACCAAGACACAAATAAGGACCACCGGCCACCTGCCGACCTCAAGGGAAGACCGCCGGCCACCAGTTCGGCTTGCCGGCCACTAATGTGGCCTGCCGGCCGCCCGTGCTTATTTCGGGGCAGAATGGTCTTTTTGCCTCGGTTCTTCATTAAAACCACACCCAAGCATCATTTGCACACACACCTAAGTCCAAAAATGCTCTCCCTCTCTCTCTATTTGTTTTCTCTCTCTAGATTTGCGCTTTATATGCTTTTTCCAACGCCCCACGCAAACTTTTTTTCGTAAAACCCTCTTGATTCTCTACACTTTGAACCAATCAGATTTTGATTTTGTCGCTTTTTCTACATTTTCACCACTTTAGGCTTGTTCTCCTTGAGTTTCTCTCGGGTTCTGCAAACTTTCCCGGGTTTTCACTTTTTCTCCCATTTTCTCTTTTCTAGGGTTGACTTTTTCCAAATTTACCATCTTTTCTCCATTTTTCTTCGTTTTTCACCTATTTTTTCACCCACTTTCCAAATGGCAGATGACATTCCTCATGATGGCGCTCCTCCTAAGGTTCCACCTCCATTATCACTCCATATCGAGTTTGAGAAGCCAGTGATTGTCGAGGCCGGTAGGGCGGCAGAGGACATCGTAGCTGATCTCGAGGTGAAGTTCGTTCCAGAGCTTAAGCCTGAGCCACTACCATTGAGGGTACGGCCCTTTGATCCCACGACCTATCATCCTCGCACACACAAACTGCCACCTGAAGGCATCAGATGCTTTAGCGATTTCATTGGTGGTGCCCCAGAGGATATTTTACTGAGGGAGCCGGACTCCCATCTTTCCTTCAGCACTACTGAGGTACGAACACTATTTTCATGCAATCCTGCATTTCCTTTAATTGTATTTCTTACACTGCCTTTTATCTGAATGCTCTTTTATCACCATCTAATTCACTCTTTTCCTGCCACGGGAGGACTCCCACTCTTATAGGGGATATGGAGCGACTACAGCTAGAGATTGGTATGATGAGCTCCCCCTAAGGTCCGTGACCTTATTAACGAGGCTGGCTTCGACCTATTCTGCTCTGGACTTTCATGGAACATAGTGAGTCGAGCTCTTCTCAGAGCGCTGGTCGAGAGGTAGTGGGACACCACCAACTCCTTCTACCTCTCTTCTATTGGGGAGATGACGATGACTCCCTATGGCTTCGCCATGCTCACAGGCTTAGGAGTAAGGGGTGATCCGATCCCCTTCGACGCGGATATGGGCAAATAGGAGGTCGCTTGGATCCACCTACTGGGAGCACACCCACTTCTGTACAGATAGGCGATGGTGAGGTACAGTTGGCTTCCCGAGAAGTTCTACGAGAGCGAGCCCGAGACACCAGAGAAGATAGAGCAGTATGCCCAGGCTTCTTGATGTTTCTTCTCGGTACCACCTTGTTTTCGAACAGGTGGAACATCGTGGGTTTATATTTGCTGAGCGAACCAGTGACACTGCCCCGAGTGCAATTTACGACTGGGGTAGAGCTGGCCTCGTCACCCTCTATGGCTACATGAGCTCCGCTTCCCAGATAATGGGAGAGCGGGTCGGTGGCTACTAGAGAGCTTGGGAGGTATACACCACACCCTTCTGATTTTGTACTTTCTGTTCAATATTTTTCATGCATTGCGCTTTCTATTTTGCGCTTTTTGTATCTATTCATGCATTATGCTTTCTGCTTTGCACTTTCTGTATCTGTTCATGCATTGTGCCTTCTACTTTGCAATTTTTGTATCTGTTCATGTATTGTGCTTTCTACTTTGAACTTTCTGTATCTGTTCATGCATTGTGCTTTCTGCTTTGCACTTTCTGTATCTGTTCATGCATTGTGTTTTCTACTTTGCACTTTCTGTATCTGTTTACGCATTACTGATAACACTATTACCCTTTTTCTTGTAATTATGGGTTTATGCCTATTTCCCAACTCTGGCTTCGGAGCCTATAGTGGAGATTCCCCCTGTGGTACCTTACTCACGACAGTATGACGCCTGGTGCCGGCATCAGAACTGCGACGACATGACCTTCGCCTTCTTCCATTGATACTTTGACACGATGGCTGTTGACGAGGTAATCCAAAACTCACAGTCATTTTTGCTTTATTACTATTCTGATTCATACTTCAGCAACTAACGGCAACTAACAATCTGTACACTCTCTTTTTTCAGGTCACATGACAGCCTTGGGCGACGATGCCGAGACTAGTACGCTGGGGCCTAGGCCATATCCCGCTTCTGAATTTTGCTGGAGGGCCTAGTCTGTCGGGCCTAGTTTCTAAGTGAGTGGTTTATACGTCAGACCGTGGGCTCGTCTGATCTGGTTATTCCCATGCCACCCCCAACGTCCATGAGTATAGCAGATAGCTTATCGGTTGAGAAGATTATCAAGTTCATGGTGGGCCTAGACGCTGACTTCTTCAGAGTGGAGGACGACTATGTGACGTTCATCCAAACTTACCTCATGCCTTCTTTGATGGGCATTCGCGCAAGCGAGGCAGCCGGTATTCCTATGGCGAGTGAAGCTGCTCAGGAGGCCGAGGTTGATATCAAAGGGACCCCTTGAGTTGGGCAGATGACCAGTTGGCCGGAGATTCCCGATCTACTCACATGTTGGCGACCGACCGGGACAACTTACCAGATTCCGATCGAGCCGGCAGAGGCAGGGCACGGGTATGTCAGAGTTCAAGGCGCACCTCAAGTATGGACCACACTTTACAATTTGCACCCCATATTTTCCATTTCAAATATTGATCATTCGAGATATTGATCATTCAAATGCACTTGTAGGCACCCCCAGAGTATACAGAGAGCCTTGTCGAACTAGTTGCTTCTCTGATGGACATGGTGCAGAGGAGAGAGATGCTGCTTGGTCTCCATGGTATTCAAGTAATTTCCCTCATTTCAGCATGCATTTCACTACTAAATTTGTTG